CCTAGAATCATTTTATTTATTTTCTTGATTTTATATTTGTACTAGTAAATTTATTTTAAAAAACTTTGCTTAGAATTTTTATTATTTAGAAAGTTGTTTGTCGATAAATAAATGCAATGCATATCAATATAATATTTAAAATGTGGGTTGTTTAACATTTACTAGTAAAAAAGGTCATGAATATATCACCACATGACGTTTGTGATCTTAATTGAATATATTATTTGTTGATTTATATGTGGTTTCTAATTATTTGTATTTTGAACAATTTATAAATTGCATACGTATTAAAACTACAACTTGCAATTTTTATGTATAAATGTAGATGATTTATTCGATTTTACTATTGTTTACCATTTTTTGCGGTTTTAAAGTAGTAGATGGTCTATCTATTCTAAATTGAAAACTAACGTTTCTTAAGTGATTAATTTATTAAGATGACAATATAATTATTTACCCTCTAATAATTCAAGTGAGAAAATTGCAAACATGACAACAAAATTGTTCTTCTCTTAGCTAGTTAGACTGCCATAGAAAAATAATATTGTCCGGCAATTAGCTACCTTGTCCCGATTATATAAAATAGAAAGTTTCATAATAATTCAAGGGTATAATTGAAAAGAAGTTTTTGTAGGGTTTTAATCCAAACACAAGATGAGTTGGGAAGCAATAAACCAAACACTTGATAAAAAAATATACCCTGCATTACTAATCCCAGCACTACTAATCCCTGCATTACTAATCCCTGCGTTACTAATCCCTGCATTATTTATTTTTCTACCAAACGACCCTTAAATACACAAAAGAGTGTATAACTAATACTTGCATTAGTTATACATGTCAAGAAAAAGTGTACCAAACAAGGTACTACTAATACACACACCTAATGCATGCATTATAATTACAATGTGTCAATTTCTTACCAAATAAGCATAATATATTTAAGAAAATAATTATAATACATATATATTGCATACATAATTCACTTTTAATACATATTACAAATTTAACATAGTATTGCTATCTATTGCTATAAATAGTAATAGATATAAAATATCGCTAAAATCAGTAATTATTTATTAAAAGATATCCATCCAAGTAATTTTTCCTTCTATTTACATGGCTTCAAACTTTAGAGGTCCAAAAATAATTGACTTTGAAACAAACTTAATTTTTCTTTTCGACTTTGGGATAAACTTCAAAAATCTTTCTTTGTTTTATATAATAAATATATTGATTGATTTTCAAGTTACAAAGTATTTTAAAAAATATATACTTGTACCGTTGTACGTTGAACCAAGCTCTCAGAATTCAGGAATCTTGCCCTTTACGGGCATTTGTACGGCTCGTGGAGGGTTATTGTCACGACCCAAGGTAGCCCCTATGCGTAACATGGTGTATAAGACCCCGAGATACTCCATACAAGCCACTTAGCATTCATCATACAAGATAATAGAATAAAGATATTTAAAAGACAGTTTCAACATATAAAAGTTTTATAGAGAAAAACGGAAGTCTAAACATTGTCTCAAAGCCATCTAGTACATAAGAAATGATCGGGGCGTAGCCCGTACATCATGTTCCAAAACTGAAAGTAAAGACAAAAGGGAAACCAAACTCGGTTCTCGAAACATAAGGACTCACCAATCTTCAAGTTTCTATATGAGATCCCTAGCTACAGAAGTGCGAATCTGTAAGGTCAGTCCCTACATTTGGGGAAATTTTAGGCAAGAGTATGCGTTAGTACAAATATGTACCAAGTAAGATAGCCATGCATGAAGCATGAACATCATGATAAAGGGACATTTTCGTAGTATCAATAACCAAATTAAAACATGATATGAAAGAGTTATAAAATATAGTCATAAAACATGGTCAATGCAAGTAGAAATCGTCTTAAAACTCATGTGAGATACTTAGAAGTAACCTTGATTCATTAATGTGGGAGAATTACCTTTAACCGACATGTAAGACCATGTGAGCTGTTAACATGGAATCCTGTCTCCCACAACGAAAAGGGGTGTCCTACTTGCCAAGGTAAGACCATGAACTTCTAGCTTAGCAGATCCACTAGCTAATATATTTATAGACAATCATATGTTGGCACATAGTTTACGGGATGTCACACCCCAAGTCCCATTGAGATGGACAAGCACCGGATGCCCTAAAGGCCCGAGAGAACCAACATATAACTCTTGCTTATCATACATGCAACAAATGAAGTTATAAATCTTTGATGAGTACAGGTAAAATACCCTGATAAAATACCAACATAGATAGGCCCAAAATAAATATACTTGATTGGTCATTGATGCCTTAATTACTAGAAAATAAGATATAACCACGCTTCACTTTGACATTGGTCTACAAATCCTCTAAAAGATAGACAGTTAGCTTATAACGGGACAGGACCCCATCATACCCCTTAACTAATATATAATCTCAAAAATATACTAGAGACTCGGCAAAGCCTTGAAGCAACCTGGAGCTCACCAAAGGTCGTTGAATATCCTATGCTTATATAGAGATATTTTATTAGCTTGAGTACCTGTACCTGTGGCATGAAAACAACATCCCCCAGAAAGGACGTCAGTACAAAAGAATGTACTGAATATATAAGGCATAAAGTAACCATATGTAAAACAAGAGCTCAACTGAAATCATGTACAAATGCACAATTATTCTGTATAGATAAGGATAAGAGACAACCTTTGGTAATGCTTGTTGAATCACATACCTTACATTCTCTGCTTATACTTGAGGAATCATGTACATCACATTCACCTTTGCTTATACTTGTGAAATAATGTACATTACATTCTTTGGCTATACTTGAGGAATCATGTACATTACATTCTTGACTTTAAGTTCACTCATCTTTTCTTTATAGACTTTGTAGCATGTGACACAATGACCAGCTGATCAGTGGTAGGAGAGGATGACCCATGCTAGGCATTTTAACCCCTGGGATGCGCTCCTCATAAATATACAAATTGGGATCGACTAATGCTAGGCTTTTAGCCCCTGGGCTGCCACCCAAAATAATATAGATTGGGATTGGTTGGCCCATGCTACATATTTTAACCCTTGAGCTGCAACCCATAATTATATAGATTGGGATCAGCCCATGCTAGGTATTACCACCCCTGATCTGCCACCCTTAAGCACAAGAATTAGCATCGGCCCATGCTAGGTATTTCAACTCCTAAGTTGCCACCCATAATTATATAGATTCACTTTACCTTGTCTTTTTAATCTTTGAGATTGTTCTTTTGATGTTCATGACTCTTTTGAGATTTAGGATTATATACTAAGATGTGGACAAATTAATTGAGGCAGAAAACAATAATATAGGAAGAAAATGTAACTTTGTCGTGCTACTTAGGAACTTATATGACTCGTGAACTTCATTTGGGCATAAAGAGCATATAAAGGTGATCCACGAAGGTGTGTGGCATAGTCCTTACAAGTAGTAAATGATTCATTAAGATGTATAGAAGTTGAGAAAGTAATTCTTCTTACAAGATGCTTCATTTAAAGCACGTTTGGACATTTCGCATGGGGAATACGATAACTTAGCACTTAGTAGAGACTGTAACTTCTCAAATGTAGAGGTAGGGACTATATAAGATGATATGATAGCTAAACACTTATTATACGATATCAAATGAAAGAGTGCATAAACATCTAAACTAATGAAGCCCATGACAGAACCCAAATAAGGGTTGTACATTCCACGTAAGGGGACATAAAATGAACAATGGACATAATATGCATCTGACATATAAAAACATGTAACATGTATTATATAGGATCTAATTGACTCAATGAACTTCATTTGACTTGGTGGATAACTCAATGAACTTCATTTGACTTGGTGGATAACTCAATGAACTTCATTTGACTTGGTGGATAACTCAATGAACTTCATTTGACTTGGTGGATAACTCAATGAACTTCATTTGACTTGGTGGATAACTCAATGAACTTCATTTGACTTGGTGGATAACTCAATGAACTTCATTTGACTTGGTGGATAACTCAATGAACTTCATTTGACTTGGTGGATAACTCAATGAACTTCATTTGACTTGGTGGATAACTCA